GCCTCAAATCCCTGCCTCACTATAAATTTTAGCCTAGTTACGGCCTTGAATGCCATTATATTTTAGCCAATATGAGCGCAGATCTAACATTTAATTTTAATAAGATTGGCAAACTGAAAGTTCCTAAAACTGTTCTAACACAAGCCTTTGTTTGATTAATTTCAGATTTTCAGCATTTTTGATCAGAATGATTCAAAATAAAATCTTAAAATTTATCAAGTGTAAAATCTCATTAGTTTATTAAAGTTGCCTCTTTTAAACACTTGACAAGGGATAATGAAATAAACAAACTTGAATGTATTTAAATGTTCTGAATATGTATGTATAGATTTGTTTCTGATAAGATCTTCAGAGTAAATTAAGGATTTTTTTCTTCATTTTACTTGTTCATTAAAATATTTTTTGTACCCCTAACCTAGACCCTTAGGCCATGATTCATGATATTTGAATAACAACTAGAGGCCCACAGACCTTATAGGTCACCTGAGTATCATGTAAATCCTAGAAAAAAAAATATGTTTGATCCTAACCAACCCTAATATATAGTGCTGACCCTAAATTTTTTTTTATGCTTTTGTCTCATGAAGTGCAAGATTTCACCCAGGGAATTATAGTCTCCAACTTTGCAAGCTTTTCAACATGTTCAAGACAGAAAGAAGTTTGAGTTAAGCCAAAATAAAATTATGGTTTGTTTGGAATTGCCTCCCGCCTCATTGAAATGCCCCCCTCCTGAAATAATTTTATTGACCAAAAGTAGGAAGATTATTTTTTTTTAATCATTTTTTTTTACCCATTACATGTATTACAAGCACCATACAAAACACTGAAATATGGTGTCAGATCTGTGTAAAATTCGGTATTTTTGTTTTTAGATTTTCATCAAAAATTTAAAATTTATCTTCAATTAAAAAAAATAATAATTTCCCTCCCTCCCTCCTGTGTCTGAAACCCTCCAGGCGGCAATTCCAAACAAACAATTTTTTAAGGATGGCCTTACCTTTCTTTTAAGTCACAGAAATGCTTGAAAACACCATTTCTTTTGTCATTAATGTTACTTCTATACACTTTTTGATTCAAGAAGCCAAAAAAAAATGTTTCAAAAAAAAATAATTACCTACCTATCTACCTATATTTTTTCAGCCTGAAAGGGGAAACAAATATATTTTTTTTTCTAGGCCTAACAACTTCCACTCAATTGTATTTTGTTCGTAATTTAAACAAAAAGCCATGAAATTCACAATTTTGAAAGACGCACCTTTGTTTATCATAATTATACACTAAGTCTTAGTTAACATGCTTACTTTGGTTACTTAATACCCAAAGGTAGATCAGAGTAATAAAGATACAATGCAATTCCATTTTATAACCACCAGTTGTGTACCCCTTCCCACAGGAACCACTAACCCTGGGGCCACACATTTCAAAATTTACTTAATGTTTTCATAGGTTTTATTTCATCTTAAATGGTTTGATTAATTCCAAAGAACTATAAGACCCACCCTAATACCAGAATCCCTGACCCTGGGGTCATTAATTTCATAATTATGGTAGAGGACTCAATGCCGATTACAATCATACCAACAGTTTGACTTGCTGATGTTCAGGAGGGGAAAAGAAGAAGGGGATTTTCAAAGATTGCATTAATTTTAGTGGTTTTGCCCCCCCCCCCTCAGGCCCGCGGGGGGGGGGGGGGGATAAAATTTATAAATTTTGTTCCCCTTTACCAAAATTGGTTGAAATTGGTTGAGCGGTTGCAGAGAAGCTGAAAAAGTTGATAATACTTATCTTAAATAAATCATACAATTTAAGTAGGTAGCTCGCAAAATGAGACTTTCTACAAGGACCAACCTAGGGGGCGACTGAGGCGAAATAGTCGCTTTTGGGCTCCAAACTTCGCCGTACTTTATCTTGAAAGCGAAGTTTAAGTCGCCTTAACATTTGCAACCCTTTTATTAAAAATCATTAAAAATCTATTAAGAAACATGGAAGAATCGTCAGTAGTTGATAAATCTTGTTTTATTACTGCTGAAATAATCCAAACAACTGGACACTTGCACCTGTTTCACTGCTAATGACCAATGCATCGAATACTCTGTCGGAACTCCTCTAGATTTTACACTTCTGGTTATGAAAAGGTCCAATTGTTACAAAGTATGTACAACCAGACGCAACACAGCTGGTCAGCTATCGATGTCATGCCAAAGATGTTGAAGATGATTTTAGATCTTTTTATTGCCAAATAATTAATTCATGCTGTGAATACAGACATATTTTACTGTTAATTTGTGGAGTTATTGACCGTTTAAGAAATTACACGTCTGATATACCGACTACCGAGTTCAATCAGCATGCAGTACGTAATACATCAAAACTTTTTCAGGAAAAAAAAATGAAAACAAATTTTGAAGAGAAAATAACAGAATTAGGACTATGCAATGAGCATAAAAATTTAAAATAAAAAGATAGAATTTGAAGTTGCATATTATGCAAGAAATGAAAAAAAAATCTTTGTTTTGTTTTTCTTTCCTTTTATTTTATTTATTTATTTTTTTTTGCTAGATGTACCTTGTAATTGGAAAAAAAATTCAGATCTTTTTTCTCTCTTTTATATTATATTTACTAGGATGTCCATACAGAAAAAAAATATTGAAATGTATGTTAAGTTTTTAACAATGAAATAGTTCCATTTTTAAAATTTTAAAATTGTAAAGATTTATAATGATCAGTAAGCGCCGCGCGCGCTCAGAAGTCTCCCTAAATTTCAAAACTTCTCCCAAAATTTCTCTGAGGGAGAAGTGAAGTCTCCCTAAATTTTGGGTCTAGGTTGGTCCCTGTTTCTAAGAAAATGTTAACATCTGTTTATTTCAAGGAAACATATATCATATAAAACTTAAAAAGTAGAGGAAAGCAGCTTACATGTAAACCCCCTCCCCCCCCACAACACACTGACTATGATCATGATGATAAATACTAAATAGAGAGCTTAACATTACACAGGGAGATTAACAAAACAATAGAAAATAAAAACATAAACCTTATGCTTTAGTCCTTAATTTCCTAAAATAGAGCTACATAAATTATATTAAGTTCTTACTCACTGTTAAAACATACCTTTTAACAGAAGTATTCTTCATCCTCTCCTATTAGCCTTAGTTTTCAGATAATTTGTTCAGTGGATATCTGAAATTAAAATAGATCAAGTTAGTACAGTACCGTACATTAATAAATGTTTTTGTTTTTAGCATGAGCTAAGAAAAGTTCCAAAAACCACTTGCATGTCCATTTCCTTGCACCTGACATTCAGTTAAAATTCTAATAGACACATGACAAAGAAAAAAAATGATGGAAAATTGTATCATTTTAAAATGGTCACACTCTGGTCTAATTCTAAGTGGCAGTCCTATCACAACCACAATTTAAAAGTTCTTGAAAAGCAATTATGTCTGAGAGTGAGAAAAATTAAATAAGTTACAATTTTTCATAAAAGCAAGACTACATCTAAATTATGTTAGTTTAAGATATGTGGGCCTTCTTTGATTCAAAATTATAATCCATTTAATACTTTATTTTATTTATTCCATTTTGCATCAAGGGCAGATAACTATTTATATAATAAGACAGAACTATTACTCTTTAGTGGCCATTGTTGGCCACTAAAGATAGAAATATGGCAAATAGTAAACAGCTATAAACAGAGAGATTACAAAAATCTTATTTGTGTATCAGTCATTTTATCAAGTCAATAAAATTTAGAAGTCATATGACGTAAAAGTATTATGTCAAATTTTCATAATGGGTCACACAGTGTGGCACAATGGTTAGAGCGACACGCCTCAAGTCGGGAAGTGGGTGCTGATTCTTACATCACGGGTCTGAATCCTATGTAGTACATAGAGACCGCTCCCTCGCATTAGAGCAAAGACTGTGTTGGTGATGTATCCACATGAATAAAAAGTTCTCTAAACGGATATCATGATTTCTACGAGCAACAAGCAAATACTAGTATATAACTATGTAATATCAATGCATGCAACATAAGAAATTGATAATGGCCAATTGCTCATTTCATCAAGCTCCAGTCTATCATAATGCAGAATTTATATACAGGTAAACAATAGCTGTTCTGTTGATATCAAGAGAATCATGTTTATGGTTAATATGATTTAAAAGTGATTTCTGATATTTAGAAACTGCACGGTGCAGCACCACATTTAATATTTGACGCCCAAGGTACAAAAATAACATAAGTATTTCTAATGAAGAATTAAACCATGCACACTATATCAAGTTTTAGGTTGCTTAAATAGTCTTATTTCATATAGATCAAAACATGCATATGTGTCAACATGAAATTAAAATTTAATTCAAAATAAATATCATTTTAAGTTTAATTCATCATAATTATGCCTTGTAAGAAAATATGCTTATGTATCTTTGTATATAAATAGTTTATTCAGTTTCGACATTTGCTTTAAAATCCTTATGTATGGTATGAAAATAAAATACTTCAACTTGAATAATGTGCGGCATTATGAAAATTATCAAGTCACTTTCATAGCCCAAAAATCTGCAAGTTCTCAGGAATTTTACTTGACTACAACATGTACAAATTGGCATTTCACAGTGATACAATACTACACAAAGGCATTCTCCCATCATGATGCCCTCTTACATGTCTAATATTTACGATTCTAGATTGCATGTATGTTAAAAATATATTGAACCCCTTCCTCAGCTGTGCAGCACAGTCTTCCATCAATAATAAAAACAATTCAGCAAAAAATAAATGTACGATTCAAGAAACTACTTCTGAGAATAACATTGAACACATCCGGCAGCTATAATGAACAACAAAGCTCACCTTTTCTGAAAAAAAAACATAAGCGTCAAACATCACATCACACACATATATAATTCATACTGATAGTGTCGCCTGCATTGGTATTATTTTTTATTTCAGACTGACAGATGGACAAGTGCCATAATAAGTGATCCCTCTGTATTATTTAATAAATACATACCTTAAAAGCTCAACTGAATAAATCTTTTTTTTTTGTCTTTTTTCTTTTCTTTTTTTTTTTTTCAATGTCTTTAGGAAAAATCCTCAATGAAGTAAAACCAAAGATGAATCTGAAAATAAAATTCATAATATATATTTAATTATTTATCATTTTTAAAAAAAAATGTCATTAATAATTTCAATGAATTGTTATAAATTCTTACATTTTATATGTGGCAAACTTTATAAGTGTTCATCTAAATATTGTAAAGAAATTACCCTTGAGTTTTCCAACAAGGGGTATATACAGGAATAAACAAACAAGCGAAAGAATATTTACACACAGTCTCTGGCTGGTAATCACTGAAATCTGGAAGAAAAAAATGTTTAGTATAAATTGTTGCAAATAATTGTATGGAAGCAATGACATTTTATGAAATTCTATTTACCTTGATTATCCAGGAAAGTTTATTTACACCTCATAAAGCATCCGAATATAACTGGTGAAATTTGTCTGAAAAAAGATATATAAATCACTTTTTTCCTATGATATATTGAAAAAGACTATGATGAAAGGGAAGTAACTCAAGTATTAGAATGGTTGAAACTATTGGGAGGCATAATAGTAAGTGAATAAATTAAACTCTAACTTGATTTTTCGTAAATATATATTTTAATATCTTAAATTTACATATATCAATTAATTATTGAAGGAAACTATGAGTGTGCCCTCGTGTTGCCATTATAATATCAATTTTCCGTGTCACATTACTGAGGCATTAATCTTTAAAAAATCAGCAAGAGAAAGCCATAGCTTCCAAAATTTCAGTAATCGTACATATTGTAGCAGTATGTCTACCGCTTACGAAAATGGGTGAAACTTGAGCGTACCCTATCATTATCCTCCAAAAAAAATATTTATTCATATTTTCATTACGCCCGTGTACATAATAAAATACCATTATTCGTGCTTTACGCGATTTTCCAAGAACAAAACACTGTATAAAAGATGATATATACTCAAAACTTACCAGCATTACTCAATTTTTGTTATGTCAAGGTCCTATCTTATTCTATATAATTAATAACAAAAAATACTTACTTACTCCGAGCCATATGAAGTCAACATGGCCGACTCCGAACAGTTCTGCAATAGATTAGAGTTATCGTTCTTGGCAAAGATGGCGTTATCTGGAAAGGCTAAAGGACACAGACTACCAATTATTTTGCTATACATTCCTTTATACTATAAAAAATGATTTAAAAAATTACACCAGCTCAACTTACCTGAAACTTGGCACAGAGTAAGAAGAATTCAAGTCCAAAAATTTTTCAGACTCTCAGGAAAATTCATCGCATGCAGTTCCTGCTAAGGCATCGCAAATAACCCCTACCCTGCTTTTTTCACTTTCTCTTC